TCCATAAATTTACTCATAACACTGAAAAATCTATGATTTTCAGCACAAGAAATGTGGATAAATATACATTTAACCATTCTCAAACATTCAAACAAAATTGATACAAGAAATTATAGTATATTATGAGAAAATTTGAAAAAATATATCTATTTTGGAAATATTTTCCTAATTTTAAAAAATCTTCACAAAACTTGATGATTTTTGTTTTGTGTTTTTTCCAAATCTCATAATTTGGGAATGGGGTTTGTTGTTTTAGAGGCTTTTGGAATAAAAGAAGTCTATATATATATATATATATATATATATATATATATATATATTCATTTTAAACCTTGGTGTTGCAAACCTTATTTATAACATTAATGCCTACAATGTTTTTGGTACTAGTTCCACAAAATATGTTTCTATGGCACATAATTTTATTATTAAAACTAATGAACAGTAATGACCACCCAATACTTAGTACAAGGCATATCAATTGTATCCAATTGGCCCTTAAGCTACCTTGGTTTACCATTGGGAGATAATCCTTAGAAAAGGTGAATTTTGGGCCCCTATTGTGGAGAGGTTTGAAAAAGGACTTGCCAAATGAAAGAATAATTATTTATCTCTCGGTGGGAGGATAACTTTGATAAGTTCTTCTCTTGCCAACTTTCTTTTCTATTTCCTATCAGTCTTTAAGATTCCGGCTAAAGTGGCTAACAGGCTGGAAAAACTAATGAGAGACTTTCTTTGAGAGCTGAGAGAGGAGAAGGATCATAGGGTCAAATGGGATGTGGCATGTGGATGTAAGAAGGATGGGGGGTTTGGGAATTGGGAATATAAGGGTTAGGAACTTAGCACTATTAGGGAAATGGATGTAGAGATTCTCATTAGAGAAAGAAAGACTGTGGGTTAAGATAGTGAGGAGTATACATGGGTTGGCAGACAATGGATGTGACTCTGGGATCCTAGAAAGGACTACAAGAGCTTCTCCTTGGAAAACTATTCAAGCCATCTTGTCCTTGTTCTATCCATGGGTCAAGTATGACTTACACTCATGTAACCTCATTAAATTTTGGGAACATGTATGGGTTGGGGACTCCTCTTTGAAAGATCAATTTCCAAGCCTCTGTGCTATTTCTACCCTTAAAAATGAACCAATTTTCTCCTTGTTCCTTTTAATTCACCTTCTGGGTTCAGTTGGAATTTGAACTTGAGAAGAGATGTTAGGGAGAGTTAGCTTGCATTTCAACCTTATTATCCATTCTTGAAGGGATCTTCATTGAGCCATCGAAGTCAGATAATAGAGTATGGACACTCACTCCCTCGGGTTCCTACACCTGTGCCTCTTTCTTCAAGGCCCTTTTACCCCCTTCTCCTGTTGGACTATCTTTTATTGTTAAAGAAGTGTGGTGTTGACCTATACCTATAAAGGTTGGGTGCTTCTATTGGGAAGCCTTCCTGGAAAGAGTTAATACAGGGGATCTACTTCAAAGAACAAGACCCAATAGTTGTTTGTCTCCTCACTGGTGTGTCCTTTGTAAATCTGATGGTGAGTCCGGATATACTTATTAATTTCTTGCCAATTTGTTAAAGTCATTTGGAAATGATTTACTTCTTTGTTTGGATGCAGGTGGACTCCCCCTTCGGATGTGCAAAGTTTATTTACTTCCATGCCTAACTGGTCAACCAAAAGGGCCAAAATCATGTGGAGATGTGGTATGGCTGCAGTGTGTTAGACTATTTGGAAGGAGAGAAATTCAAGGGTATTTTCTAATAAGGAGAGAAGCTTGGAAGTAATCATGGAGACTATCCACATTAGGGTGATTCACTGGTTATTAACCTTGGAATTGTTTGCAGTGTTCTCAGTTGATGAGATGGCCAGAAAGTGGAAGGAAATTGCGGAGTTAGACTCAATCAAGAAGACCTCAAATTCCTGTTGGACACCTCCACCTCATGGGTTTACCAAACTGAATTTTGATGGCAGCAGCATGGGTAATCCAGGGCCCTCCGGAGTGGGGGGAGTGATAAGAGATGAAAATAGAAACCTGTTAGCTATGTATTTTGGCCCAATTGGGGTGGGAGATTCCTTGAGGGCTGAGATCCTAGCAGCTCTTGAAGGGATACAAAGGGCCAAGGAAATGAACTATAAAAAATTGATCATAGAAGGAGATACTGAAATTGTAGTAAATTGGCTAAAAGAGGATAGTTCTATGCTCTGGAAATACAACAATGAAAAGAGGAAATTCAAGTGGCTCACCAAGGATATTGAAATCCGTTGTACATGGATAGTGAGAAGTGCTAATGCACTGGCAGATGGTCTAGCTAGGCAAGGCCATGGCCTTATTGCCATACAAAGTCACTTGTGTTTAATGCACAAAATCTCATATTGCCATACAAAGTCACTTGTGTCCAGACAATCCAATCGAACGCCGGTGTGGTATCACCAGTTTGATAGGCTAGGCTGCTAAATGTGACTTTGTATGGCAATATGGGATTTTGTGCATTAGACACATGTGACTTTGGTACTAGTACCACAAAATATGTTTCTACACTATAGAATTTCAGTATTAAAACTAACAATTAATAACGACCCTATACTCAGTACATGGTCCTATTTTCACATATTTCTCTTGGGACATATTATTCATATGGTAAATTTAGGTTAGATTTTGTAGTAAAAAAAGTTTAGGTTACATTTTTATTTGATATAGGAGATCAAATTAGGTTTTATTTGTAAATAATAAGTTATTTATTTATTTAGAAGAATGGTACCCACACTAAGATTGAGTATTAAAAACCTTTATACTTTCTTTGTCAAAATTGAAAACTTTTGTATTGGGTCTTTTTATTTGAATCAATAAACCATGTTAAAAAATATATGTTCAAAAAATTACTTCATCGACTTATACCATTGTATTTGTTCTTTGATAAAATTCAATTATAAAGGTTAATCATTATTAATATGGCTCTAGTCATATTTTCTCCATTTGTTGATGACTATACATTGAATTTGTGATTTGATAAAATTTAATAATTCCTAACTCACATGTCATGGTTTAAAAGATGAACCACTAACAGACAAGGATCAAAGTATCAATATTGGGTACTATATCGGATAACTTAGATATGGATATGGATACAAATATGAATATGTTTCGGAAATGCATGAATACATATGAAAAATATGGATAAATAGGAAAAACGTATAAATTCCATAAATACATTAATAACACTAAATTTAAGGTTAAAATAGCCATACAATATATAAGTGCATAGGAAATGTATATTTTAATAGTATATATGAAGAAACATATTACAACTAATGTAGTAGGATATAGATATCATACAATTTTCTGATAATGCATCAATCAAAAGTCCAAGACACATATTAGATAGATTTTTACAAATTAATTCATGCACAAAGCCATTAGTTTGTTATTTTCTATTTAAGTTCAAGGCACAAAGCATGTGAAATCATTATATTTTAATTATTATATCAAATTTTCTTTTATTTTACTATTTTTACTTTTTAACATTAACAAAAAATTTAACTAAATATAAAATTCTCAAATGTTTGGTAAAAAATATTCATTTTTATAAACAATAAATATGTTATCAAATCTATTAAAATTTTTAAGATACCTATCATATGCAAATTCATAATTTTAATTATTAAAATAATTATTCCATTATTAATATTTTTATTTCTACAATTTTTCAGAAATAAAAATAATTTTCTGATACAAAAGCAAATTAGTTGATTTGATAGATCCAATTTAATATTATAATCTTGAATATTTTGTAAACAACATTTTTATTTTTGTAAATAACAAATATATTGTTAATTTGAATTAAAATAATAATTGATAATTTATAAATATGAATTTGATAGATTATTTATTCATTAGTTTATAAAATATTAAATTTGAAAATTATTGTTTTTAATTTTTAGTTGGAGTTAGTCTGGATTGCATGTAGACACAAAAGTTAAAAGAAGTTATTAGATTTCATTTATTATCGCAAAAAGCAAAGTGGTCAGTCCTTTAAAGGCACATTTAAGGATTGGGTGTAAAAGTGAGAGTTTTAATCATGATAGAAACACTTTTTTAATATAAAAACTATAGCGGTTTTTACTATTTAGTCCACCTCTAGAAATCTTAACTCCTCCATACAGTTGGGGTAGGTGCCAGCTTGGAATTGATGCCAATTCATAGGTGGATATGAATGTTATAGGTGGAGATGTTTATAATTTTAAATTGTTGTAGATCTGCAATTCAAATCAAAATTCTGAGGCGGACTGCACTCTAAAAATCCCAAAACAATATATGTGATATGAATGTATATGTGTGTATTGGTGTATATGACCCAATTCACATGATTAAAAAATACACCCTTATTTGTAGCATATCCCCATATCCATACACACCAATTAATACTGATACTCATATTTTAAGAAGCTTTAAAAAATATCCCTAATTCAAAAGTGTTGTTTCACATTTACTCAGACTTTGTATAGTTTTCAATCTTCGCACAAATATTTTTTATCAATAAAAAAGTTCAAATCAGAAATGGTGGTAAATGAATTTAATTCCAAGTAATAAAATATGTAGAATGGCATGAGTCCCACTTTAATTTTAAAATGATGTTATATCCTAATTCAAATTCAAATTAGAAAGTTAGCTTATATCTTGTAATCTCAAATCAAATCTGATTTACATTTTTTTTATTTAAATAAAAATCAAATACAAAGACGTACAAGACACATAACGTTGGTGGGCTCCAATCTTCTACAATATGGGTTGTTTTTAATATAAATGAAATCTAATTTAGTCTCTTAAATCAAACATTAAACCTATCATAAATACTCCACGTAGATAATGGGACCCAAATTCCAAAGTAGATGATATATGATTTGACCATCTAAACTAATCTATTCCTTCATGAAGCTAACAGGAGACAAGGCCTCCAGCCAAAGAAATCAAGAGCCCCCCACTTAGGAAACCTTTCACAGTTTCACTTCTCTCTCTTTCTCTTTTGATAAGGCCCCTGGCATTGCTTTTAGGGCTAAAGTTTGTACACATTGGCCCGTGATATGATTGGCAGAGGCGAAAGGCCCTGGCCCACCCAGTACCCAGTAACCCATCAACTCCAAGCTCAACCCAGTTACCAGTTGGCACTAATTTTGCCACGTGGAAAAGTAACTGGCTAACTACTGGAAGAAACTGAGCAAGGAACCCATCATTCTCCCTTCTGTTTTCAGTTGAATTCTGGGATGTGGAAGCGTTCTGGACTCCGATCTCTGCTCAACTTCACTCATGTAATCTGATATGATCCAAAGAATGGCAGACCGCAGAACCTATCAACCCACATGCCCGTTTTGTTAAAATTCAACCAACCCAACTGTAACTGTCATTGCAGTTGTTGAACTGTGATTCAGTCACGCTTGGGTCAACGTTATAGGACCCTTTACTACCTTTCTTTCTCCTTCTCGCCATTTCTTTATCAACTTTACTCCAACTACGTCTGGATGGATTGGATTTGAAGAACCCATCAAAGCCTCATCTTCCTCTCCTGAAACTCAACAAACGTGAGAAAAACTTCATAATTAGAAACGCTCTCCTAGAAATCTTCTTATAAAATCTCTTGGTTTCTGCCATTCTTTCTTTATTTCCTTCTTTTTTCAGACTTTTCTGTCATGCTTTGTTGGGTAGGCTCGTGGCGTTCACGTTCACTCTCACCCCATAATGGAAAATAGATGTTATAAGGGGTTTTGTTTTGATTAGATTATTGTTACAGAATTGAAGTTTATTTATTTGTATTTGTTAATTCATGGCGGAGAAAACACCAGTTTCAGCTTTTAGTTAAGGACTTCCCTGAAACCTACTTTAGTTCTTCTAGCTTTTTCTTTATTCTCTACAATCTTTTTTACTTTTCTTTTTTTTTTCCTTTTTCCCGTTTTTTCTTTATCTTTAATTCCTGTAGGTGTTCAGGCATGGGAATTGAAGATCAGGATCCGAAATTTTGATTTTTTTTTTTGTCTCAGTAAATTCGGTTGAAATTGATTTCTAAAGGGGGTTTTACCTTGGATTCTGGGGAAGAAGAGGTTCTGGTAATGCAATTGAAGAACCAAGTTGTTTTAGAAGAAACCCAGTTCGAATTTAAGCATTTTTTTTTTTTTGCAATTTACTGTTAAATTTAGCAATGGTGGGGTTGTGTGGGATCTTTCTCCAGTCCTATAATTCTTTTCCACTGTAGTTCATCTTTTGGGTACGACAGCATGGAGTTGAAGAAGGAGAAGCTTGTGAGGTAATTAGGGTTTCTGCTTTCTTCTCTTTCTTAATTTCATTTTCGGTTTAATCTTGGGAACTTTCTGGTATTTTGTGTAATGGGTATCAAACTTTTTAGGTTTTATCCTGATGGAAAACAACAACTTCCCGAATTCGTATGGGAAAAAGGCGATTCCCAGCGCCTTGAAAAGCCATCTCCAGTTTACAAGGTTTCAGCTCCTTTCCTGAAATCGGATGGGGGAGGTGGAGGTGGGGGCAGGAGTAGAAATGGAGAGCGTTTGAGTTTAGGGAAGTCTAAAGTCTTTCCAGAAGACCATGAACCATGGAGGAAGAGGATACTTGATCCAGGAAGTGAGCATGTGTTGCAGTGGAACCATGTTTTTCTTATCTCCTGCTTGCTGGCATTATTTGTCGATCCATTATATTTCTACTTGCCTTCAGTAGGAGGCGATGATATTAATAGATCATCATGTATAAAGACGGATTTGAATCTTAGCATTGTTGTGACCTGTTTCAGAACTATAGCCGATCTGTTCTATCTTCTGCATATGATCATCAAGTTCCGGACGGCATATGTGGCTCCTAGCTCACGGGTATTTGGGAGGGGTGAGCTTGTCATGGATTCTAAGAAGATTGCAAGGAGGTATTTAAGATCAGATTTCTTCGTAGATCTCGCAGCGACTTTGCCCCTTCCTCAGGTAATTTCTTGACCTTTAAGAAGAAATACAGTGTGTTGGTTACTTGGTTTCTTGGGATGACCTTTATGCACTTTCAGTGTTTCTATTCCATGTTCTTGTCATGTCTAGTCAATCTTTGCAATGAATGAGTTACTAATCAAACTAAACTTTAGCATATAGTTGTTCCAAACCAGTAAAGCACAAGTAGTGTGATGACTAAAATTGGAAAGGATTGACTGTCTGCATGTCTACTGTTGTGTTAGCTGAGTATGTGTTTGTGTGCATATGTTTTTAGTTCTCAGTTCATGAGATGATCATCTACTTCTTGTCCACCCTTGCTTGTAGTAGTTAAACTGGGGTTGGACTTAAGTGTTGCCCAACCAACAGTATTTCCTATCTAGTTGAGACCTGAAGATTTTGCTCTACTAGAGCCATGCTGGACAGGGATATCCTTTGCCATTGTCTAGGTGAAGTCATTATTAGTTTGGCTCTAAATGGAATCAGATATGAAAATAGGAGTTAGAAAGTTTGCTTATCAAGTAGAACATACTGAACAACCATCATTTGGAGGATTTTGATTCAAGAGAGGCTTATTTGAGAGGCTATTGTTTCACCTCTGATTGCAACGTGCCTAACACCAATACATTGCCCACCTTGTATTATACATGACTTCTCTCCAACATTAATGAGGTGGTGAAAAAGTGGCCCCTTATTGGATTGTGCTGCCACTTCATATCGTCTTTATGCCTTGGACTGTCTCAGAATCAGATTCTCAACATCTACATTCAGAAAACAGCTGAACCTGTGAAAAACATACACCTGCAATGATATTTGTGGACCTTTGGCTGTAGTGGTTACTGAGACAAAGAAGGTCTCTTTTGAGTTCAATATGTTGATCAGAAGATTCCAGCTACCAAAATAATCTGTAAAGAGCAAGGTAGCATATTTTGTACAATTTTTTTTGATCAATGGAAAGAGTGTTTGAAAAATTGAGATGTAATTCCTTTCCTTGTTTTAGTTAGCAACTTTTTAATCATCATCATATTGGTGGTCACGACTGATTTTTGTATTCAAAGGCAACAGTAACAGACAAATCTCTAAAAAGAAAATAAGTGGTATGTTATTTAATTTCACCAACCATGATTAATATATATGACCTACTTCTTAACCACTAATCTCCCTCTCTAGGGGAAAATAAATAATTAAAATAAACATAACCCTTCATAGTAGGTGTTACTGACAGTTATTAAGTTGAGGATGTTTCTTTACTTACAGTTATGAAGTTTCTCTTTCTTTTGTAAGGTTATAGGTTGTAAAATTAGAATGCTTTTTCTTTCTATTATGATAATTTGATTGTTGAAGCTAATCTTTTTATGGATTTTGTTGAAATAATTGATTTTATTTTGTTAGGGTCTGTTTGGCTGATTAAAGCGTTTTTATTTTTTCTGTTATTGTACTTTACTTTAGTAGGGGCACAAGGGTCATTTCCCTTCTTATTTTTTTCGCCCTATATATTATGATGAAGCTGGCGCCGCCAGCACTGTTCCATTGCCTCTAATCCTTCTCCTTTCTTTCTTCTTCTCTTTTCTTCTCTTCTCTTCTCTTCTCCTTTATTCTTCAATCAGATTTATTGTCAAGAGATTTCAACAGAGGATAACTGCAGTTTTCCTTTTTGTGCAGATGGTCATCTGGTTTATAATACCGGCAATTAGAAGCTCCCATGCTGAACATAACAACAATGCTCTTGCACTGATTGTGCTGATTCAATATGTACCCAGATTATACCTAATTTTCCCTTTAAGTTCTGAAATCATTAAAGCTACTGGAGTTGTCACAAAGACTGCTTGGGCAGGAGCTGCATATAATCTGCTACTGTACATGTTAGCTAGTCATGTATGTAATCTCTGTCTTATTTCAGTTTTAATTTTCTTTGAAAATAAGGGTGTTCTTCAACACGGGTCTAAGTTTTGAGTTGCAAAATTTCATGTACATCAGGTTCAGGTTTGGGTTCAGACCTATTCAAAATTGGATAATTGCTCAACCCTACCCGATCCAAGTTGCATCTCTTTTCTTTAATGTAAATTGCTTTTCTTGTTGTGAGTTCTAAAACTAAATCAAAACTATTTGGTTTGAAAACAAATTGGTTCTTATAACAAAAACAAAGAAAACATGTTCTTGGTTGTATATGTATTATTTATTTCCAAAACTGAAATACAAGCATATTCTTGAATTTCTGGCTTAAAGAACATGTTTTTATTGATGATTTGATATCATGTTTCATAAATCATATAATATCTGTACTCTGAGATTTGTTTTTGCTTTAAAACTATTAATTTGATGGTTTCAACAAATTATTTTGATCGTTGAGAAAACATGAATTGTTTTTTGAAACAAACCCAACGTGTTTTTGCTTTTCACAACAAAAACAAAGTTCAAGAACATATTTCAATCTTTTAGTTGATAGGCAATTTTAAAATCAAATGGAAACAAAAGCATTCATGTTGTAGAATATCCCCCTAAGACTTACCTACTTTGGGTCCTTCTTGATAACATTAGTTGTAGGTTTATTGTTTATTTTTTTATTTATTTTACAGTTCTCATAATTTCATTTGGTTTTACAAAACAGGCTCCCCAAAATTCCTATTCCATTTTTTTGTAGGTTTTAGGGGCATCATGGTATTTACTGTCAATTGAACGGCATGCAACATGTTGGAAATCAGAATGCAAACGAGAAAGCGGTCCTCCAAAATGTCTCCTTGATTATATAAACTGTGGTTCTTTAGGCGATAGCAATCGGAAATCTTGGGCAAACATTACAGAGGTGTTCAGTAACTGTGATCCTGCAAAAGACATCAGTTTCAATCATGGTATATTTGGAAAGGCAGTGACTAATAATGTTGTTTCCTCAAAGTTCTTGGAGAAATACTTCTATTGTTTGTGGTGGGGTTTGCAAAACCTAAGGTACTATTTCCTTAACTTGTTGTTCTCTTCATATATTCTTATTTTCTCTTAATATGTTCTAGTACAATTTTGTAAGGCGAGTAATGTTCATGGAGCAGATTAGTTTCTTAACAGTACAACTATTTTGTAAGGCCAGTACAATTTTCTTTTAATATGTTCCAGTACAACTTGGCCTTCTGCCTAGTGAACTTGCAATGAATGTGTTAAGTCGGGCTTCTGATTCAAATATGTGTCCTCTTTTCCTTCTGCACATTCTTTGTGTGGCAGTCCTTAGAATATTGATAACATGGAATCTTTTCTGGTCTTCTATGTGGACAAGGAGTTAAAGGGGGTATTATCTTTGACATTATTTTAATAAGAAATGCACGATCTATTTTCATGTTAAGCAGTGCATTGAAGAAGCTGATTTGTCATAGTTTGTACGTGTCTGTGACTTATTAAATGACTAGTAAAATGGATGCCATGTCAAGTAGCTTTTATTTTCCTTCTGGAATTAAATAACCACTGGAAAAGAAATGCTGTGAAAATTAATGCTTATGTTCTATGTGTGTTCAAAATTTTGAAGCATCTCTTTTGCCTTTTATTTTCTCAGTTCATATGGGCAGAATTTGCAAACAAGCACATATATTGGCGAAACTTTATTTGCGATACTCATTGCCATTCTGGGCCTGGTTTTATTTGCCCATCTGATTGGGAACATGCAGGTAATTAAAGGCTTCTTGGTTTTTTGGTCATTAAAACTTTCAACAACCATGTTGTTGGTCAAAGTGAAAATTAAAGTTGTTTTTTTTTTCTTTCTTTTCTTCTAGGTGGATTATTGAACATTCTTTTTAAATTTCAATTAGATGTATTTTATTTTTAGTAGGGCTGGCATAACTAAATGTCGACTTCGTTGAGGGTTGTCATTCTACCTTCCATCCCCCTCCCTTCTGGTATGGGGGGCAGTGCTTTTTTGAATGCTTTACTTTTACAAGATTTGAACTTTTTCTTATTTTTTAATGTAGACCTACTTGCAATCTCTCACTGTGAGGCTTGAGGAATGGAGACTTAAACGAAGGGACACTGAAGAATGGATGAGACATCGCCAACTCCCTCAAGATTTGCAAGAACGTGTGCGGAGATTTGTTCAATACAAGTGGCTTGCAACGCGAGGAGTAGATGAAGAAGCTATCTTGCATGCCTTGCCTACAGATCTCCGTCGAGATATCCAACGACACCTATGTTTGGACCTTGTTCGACGTGTATGGTCTTTCCCCATTTTTTTCTACTATTATAACTCTGATCTGAAGCACATCAGGATTCATATTTTGGTATTCTTAATGAACATTCAGCTAGTATGCTGAAGAACACAGAATCAATAGGACCAGAAAGCTCTAATTCTATATCTGCATACACATTGCACATGTGGCAAGCATTGGAGAATGTTTAGCCCAACTATTTGTAATTGGCTGAATATATTTTGATTGTAAAGAATCAAGCTTCCATGTTTTTGTTAGGATTTTATATTGGGATTTTTGACTTGGAATAACACCTAGTCAATTGCCTTTTTTTTTTTTCAAAAACAAATTATTCCCAACAGTCCCTTGTTTTGCTAAGGTATCAGCTAGCTTATTAGCTGATCTTCTAGTCCACTTAAAGCATACTCCAATCTTCCTTGCTGTACAATAGATCTCCCTCATCGTCTATCTGTCTATATGTCCAAACCCCCAAGCTATCTGACTGCGTCCACCCAATTAGCAACTTAGAGTCCCCTGTCCCCTTCTATCTCAATTTAGTGCAGACCCAACTGTTTAGCAAACCTTACACCTTGAAGTAAAACCATCACCTTCGTTCTCAATGAATCACCCACTCCTATTGGTCCTGAATACATAGCAATTACTCTACCCTCTTCATTTCTGAAAACTCTCTCTATACCAGATGGGCCTAGATTGGCTATAGAATTTCCATCAAAATTCAACTTCACCCTCTATTGTGTTGACGGAGACCATATTTCCTATGCAACAATTTTCAAGGAGGTAGTTTTTGCCAATATACCTCAACCCCTAAGGATGTCATCAATTAAGAAGTCCTTAAACAATTTAATTGATTTCAGCCAGTGAGTAGCCTTAATGGTTATTCCTTCCATGATTTCCTCCTTAGATCTTTCTAGTCCTTTAAAGATCCTATTATTCATTTCTTCCCAAACTGACTAGAGAACAGTTGCTCTTATTCTTTGGTTGCTTGAAGAAATTTGGGCCAAAGAGGCTCACCACATCCGGAGAGGGATCCAACTGCAGCTAAAGAGAGAAGAGAACCAAGACCAAATAAAAGACACAAAAGGATAGAAGATTAATAGGTGTGTGATCATCTCACCAGAACCCAAGCAGAGGCTACAAACATAGGGTGAAAGGCAATGATTTGACGTTTTTCTTTGAAGCATATCCAAAGTATTTATTTTTTGGAGCACCTTCTCCTAGTAAAAATCCCATATTTTTAAAGGTACAAGATTACACCATACCTCCTTTGTTGGAAAGTTCCCTACCTGGTTAGAAAACTGAAGGAAAACATTGTAAAAGGAGGAACATGTGAAATATCTAGAAGGGAAAGGTGTCCAAATTCTGCTATCCATGCAAGATTGATCCAAGAAACCAATCCTAGAAGAGAAATAAGTTCATCATCAACCAATTCCATTTCAGATTCCCTTAATCCTCTTCTCAATCCCAAATCCCAAGAGTTGCAAATGTTATAAACTGAAGAAATTACTTTTCTTTTGTTTTCAGAAAGGGAATAAATAGATGGGAACCTATCTGTAAAGGAAGTCTCCACGAACCAGACATCTTCCCAAAACATTTTGTTCCTTGCATAGGCATCATATTTGAAATACAAAAAGAGAGAAGGCAAGATACCATGAATAGATTTCCAAGGAGAACATCAAGAAGCCCTAGGGTCTAGACCTGCATCCCCACCATGTCTACCAATCCATGAATTCTTACAATCACTCTATGCCATATCCTATCCTGTTCCAACAGCAGTCCACAAGCACTTACCCAACAAGGCTGAATTCCTTAACCTGACATTCCCCATTCCTAGGTCTCCATCATCCCTACTTCTAGATACCACCTCCCACTTCACCAAATGATCTTTCTTGGTGTCTCCTGGTTTCCACAGGAAATCCCTCATAATCTTCTCTAATTGATTTTCCCAATGAAATATAATTGCTCTTCCAACTAGCAAGCCTCTTAGTAAATCTTTCTATCACTGGATACCAGAAGTTGTCTATTTGGGCTTCCTCCCAAGGGTAATCCCAAATATTGTAAAGGCCAATCCCCTACTCCACACCCTAACAGTCTAGCAAGATTATTTACCTCTTCTCTCCCTAGTCAATTGCTTTTTAAATCCTGCATATTTAAACAAAGGGATAACATCTACTGTTCAAATGATCAAGCGTATCCAGCTTAGTTATCTATTTAAACGAAGGAAACTTGGACAAGGATGGGAACATGGGAAACTGTCCTTGCTATTTAGAAAATGACTATACTTCTGGACAAGATTCCATTTAATGTTGCCTAAGGAGATTTATCCAGGAGTCAAATATTGGATGACCTGATTATTATGATTATGGATATCTTTCTGGTTAAGATCACATGCCACTCTACGAGGGAATGGCATAAATCAGGGTGTTAGATACCTATCTTACACAGTCAACTTTTGGTCTGGAAATGGTGGATCCAACTCCTGCGCCTCTTCTCAGTATGAATTCCAAACAGTCGTAATAGATTTGCTTACTTTGTAGCTTGCTTGTTTCTTTATGTGCAGGTCCCATTTTTTTCACAGATGGATGACCAGCTACTTGATGCCATATGTGAGCGCCTGGTGTCTTCTTTGAGCACTGAAGGCACCTATATTGTCCGTGAAGGTGACCCTGTTACAGAGATGCTTTTTGTTATCAGAGGGAGACTAGAGAGCTCTACCACAAATGGTGGCAGGACTGGTTTCTTCAATTCAATTACTTTGAGACCAGGTGATTTTTGTGGGGAGGAACTGCTTGCATGGGCATTGCTTCCAAAATCCAGTGTGAACTTGCCCTCTTCTACAAGGACAGTCAGAGCCCTTGTTGAAGTAGAAGCATTTGCATTGCGAGCAGAAGATCTAAAGTTTGTAGCCAACCAGTTCAGACGCCTCCACAGTAAGAAGCTGCAGCATACGTTCCGTTTCTACTCTCATCATTGGAGAACTTGGGCAGCTTGCTTCATACAGGCTGCATGGCGTCGATACAAGAAGAGGATGATGGCAAAGGACCTTGCCATGCAGGAATCATTTTCCTATCCTGCAGATGAGCATGCACCTGATGAGGCAAGGCAAGAGGAAGAGGAAAGTGTGGCTAGCTCAGGAAACCCTTCTCAAATTAAGCAAAACCTAGGAGTCACAATATTAGCTTCAAGGTTTGCTGCAAACACAAGGAGGAGGGGAGCTCAAAAGGTAAAAGCTGTTGAGATGCCCAAGTTACAGAAGCCAGAAGAGCCTGATTTTTCTACCGAGGTAGATTATGATGAATAACCCTGCAAGAGGCACATGATAATAGTTGCTGAGGTGACATGCTTTCACTATTCCATGATCAGAGCTAATACCCCAAAAGTTTACAAATGGGGGAAAGGTAGCACACATTTCAATTGTAATACTAGGGCACAACAAGACATCCAGTTGTATTGTTCCCCAGTTTACATGGAAGAGAATACTTCATTGCCAATGGGTAAAGGAATTTGTGATATATATGTAATGTTGGGTACATCATGCCATTTGTAGTATTTGTCTAGCTCATCCAAGTCATGGGTTTTACAAGAGGGGTCCCCATTGAAATCCTAGCCCCCGATATCAGAGTACATGGCACTTTATGATGACTGCGTTATTGACTTGTTGATGTGGTTTATACTTTATGTTGATAATTCATTCATGACCTTGTTTCTCGTTGACTTGATGGTTATGACAGTCCCAAGTAAGCACTGCGTATTAACTTGTTTTGCGTCATCATTGTCTTGAGATGGATTTCCAGGGAACTAAATGCTACCCAGTAAGGTGAAGGTGAGAAAATCCATCTTTTGAGAGCAGAGATGTATTGTGTGTCGTGACTGTCGTCCTCCTCAAGTATGGAAGTTCTCTATTTCTAATCTTTGTAGTAGCAATGGGATGAATACATTTTCCTTCTTTCGTTCTCGTTAACTTTCTATTGTGATTAACTATGACTTTCTTTCACAAATGTTATGCCATATAAGTAATGTAAGTTGTAAGTGTTTCACATTCAAGCTGCAAATGATGCATCTTGGGTTTGAATCCAGATTTGGTGTGAACACAAGTGTGAATCTGGTATCTGGTATACTTCCCAAATCTAAGGATCTGGTATCCTTCTATGATTAGCACTCAGCATTTTTTTTATTTTTTTTTTATTTTTTGGAAAGCCCTAAGGTTGAATTCATTCATCAATCAACAAATTACAAATCACCGAGAACATAGGGAAGTAGAAAATATTAATATTTGCAATTTTATGTATGAAGGGGTTGCCAAAATATTGGTAGGGAGGTTGACTACTATTCTTGATAAAATTCTCTCCTGAGCAAGGTACTTTCCTTATGGGGCCATAACATTATAGATAATGTCTTTGGATCAAGAGTTGACTCAAGGTATTGATGAAAAATTAAAAGGAGAATGTTATTTTAAAGTTAAATATGATGAAAGTCTATGATAGATTAGAATGGAGTTTTCTTTGAATTGTGTAATTGCTGGTTTTCCATCTTTAGGTACTTTAAGGCTATGTTTGGTTTGAAGGAAAAGGTAGGGAAAGGAAAGGAAATGCAAGGAAACCTATAGAATATTTGTGAAGGTTTCCCTTCCTTTCATTTCCTTTCCCTACATTTTGCTTCAAACCAAACATAGCCTTAAAGGCCCCATTTGATGCCTCTTAGTGCTAAATACTGAAGTCCGTCCATACTCCATACCATTTCAGTATTTGTTCCAAAATCGTCTTTAGACTTCAATGTACTATTTTACTTTTGGTTTTCTTATGATTCCACTTTTTGTTTTCCAAGAAATACCTTATAAAAAAGTTATTCATCTTTGGGAAATTGCTAAAACTCACCATGAGTTTTTAACATTTTTCTTGAATTCACCACAATTTTTCAAAATGTCTAAAACTCACCATGATATAAATGCACACGCTATATAATAATAGTTAATTAATAATTAAGAAATTATTTATTTTAAACTTATCAAATCCACTATTTATTTTAATTATCTTATATTTATTTAATTAATTTATTTTATAGTTAAACAAGCTTTCTCATATCCAAGATTAAAATGGTCTATTGGCATTTTTTGGAACACAATATTCATATTTTAAAACAACATTTTATATCTTCAGATTTTAAAATCAAGAAAAATTTACCAACTCCAATGCATCTCTAAAATTAATTATTACAACTTTCGTACTTCAATACAAATAATAGGCCCCAAGGCTTCTAAAGGTCACTGACTCACTGGTAGGGAAACCCCCCATATCTTTATCATTGTGGAAGAGGTGCTTAGTTGTAGCGTGCATGCTTTATTTCAGCAGCATCAATCCTTGGCTTACAATACAACTCGAGGTTGTATTCCCATTTCTAGTGCAATTTTGTAATGGAAAATGGAAATACGCCTTTTAATAAAATCTTCAAGTTCCTTTAGGAAAGCCACCAAACGTGATTCAAAACTTCCCTTTGTGCAATGCCAATGAATATGTTTGGAACATTATATACATCAAAACAAGCTAATAAAATACTTGTACAACAGCTGCAAATCAGAAAAGCAAAAAGGAATTTGGGTTTTGCACCTCCAATGTGGAAACGGATCCATCAGCATCTGTATCAAATACCAACCTCAGATGGCAATTTACAACCATGTGGACCCATAAGTTGCAAAGTTTATTGCGGGCCATACTTATCCAGATCATAGAACTCTATGTTCTTGTACTTTTGAGATATAATTTCGGCTTGAACTTTTCTTGCTGTGTCGGTAGCACAACCAACAAGAATGAGAACAGAGGTGCCAGCAAACCCACGAAATGCAGTTAGGTGTGTAACTTGCTCAACTACAGCTGGACCAGCAGCAAGTACTGCTAAAAATGCAGAGCCCAAAACTGATATCCGGCTAAGGACCTGCATTCAAACAAAAAAAAAACAATATATATATATATATATATATATATATATATACAGTGAGAATGTACATTTGTTTCAACGAGTATTTGAACTGAAGCAGCTAAGAAAAGTTTAAGCAACTAGAGTCTACCAGTTATATTAGTGCTATTATGATTGGTTTTGATTCCACCCTCTGTAGCCCATAATAGCCATTTGTTCTTTTCATTATTTTGTTCAAGATATTGATGCTTTTCATCTCCATCAAATATGAATTCTGAATTGTTTATTGCATCATAGAGCACAGATTCACCTAGCTGACCCCAAATAGTTGGGATTAAGTCTTGAGTCGAGTACAAAGCTAGTAGAAACCACTATCTGCTGATCCGGTCAAGCTTCTTGTGGAAGGAAGAGGTGAAAGYTGTAGATTTCAGCAATAGAAGAGGAAAGGAAAGAAGAGAGAAGAAGGTCAACTAGGATTGTGTATCATAACCCTAGCCGCCAGCCCCTCATTCTATTTATAATTAACTTAAATATGAAATATTACAAAGATGCCCTTAGTAGGCGGCAACTCAAACTAAATAGTTACAACTCTTTAAAAAATAAAAACTAATGGGCCCAAGGCCCAACAACTTCTTAATTTAAAAGAAAATAAACTAAACACAAATTTGCCCACTTAACACTCCCCCTTAAGTTGGGAGTAGATGTCACACATTCCCAACTTGCGTAGATCATGCTTCAGCTTATTCTTTGCAATGCCTTTTGTGAGAACATCAGCAAGTTGCAAATCAGAAGAAATGTATGGAAGACAAACTTCTCCAGAAGTTACCCTTTCTCTGATAAAATGTCTATCTACTTCAATGTGCTTAGTTCGGTCGTGCTGGACTGGATTATGGGCAATATTAATTGCTGCCTGGTTATCGCAGTATAA